GGGGCGGGCGGGGGCGGGGCGCCCCGGCTGGACGTGTAAGGGAGGGGCGTGGGGGGGAGGATCTGGGCCCCGAGCCCTCCCCCCTCAAACTCAGGGTCCGGCCCCTCCCCGTCCAGGCCCCAAGCCCTTCCTCCCTCGGACCCGGGAGTTCAGGCCTCCAGCCCCTTCCTCAGTTTCCCAGACTTCCTGCCCCAATTTCCCCAGAGCCAGCTGAGGACCCTGGCCCCGGGCAAGGGGTGTGACAAATGAGCTAATGCCAGGGCTCTGTGCTGTCTAATGAGGCCCATCCACCTCATTAAGATCCAGCATGGCAGGATTACGAGGTTCATTAATGAAGACGTCCGCTTCCTCCTCCTCCTCCTCACTCGGTGGGGTTGGGCGGAGAGTGGGGACTGAGGGGGGGTCCTGCCTCTGCCATTTCCTTCTCTGTCCTCTCCTGGGACACACCCTTGGGACCCTGACATTTTTTTCCCTGGAAACCAAGTTGGGGAGAGCAGAGAGAGACCCAGAACCGGAGACGGGGAGCCACAGAGATAGCAGCAGAGAGGGAAGCAATAACCCCAGCTGGGCTTTCTGGGTGCCTGCACCCCTTCCTGGGGCTGGGGCAGGCCGCACGGACTGCTGAAGCCTCCTCCCTGGGGAGTTTGGAGTGAGGGATGGGACGATGGTGGGGGACAGGAGTTCAGGGTGCGGAGGAAGTGGGGTGGCAGAGGAACCTGTAGTGCCAGATGTCCATGGCCACATCCCACACGCGGCCCAGGTAAGCGCAGGCACAGAACTGCACACAGATTACCAATAATAATCACCACAGTGAGTGTTTTCTGCTTGCTAAATGCTGTTCTAAATGCTTCTAAGTTAATTTTATCCTCCTAACAAAGATGAGGAGGTAGGTGCTACTATGATTAGCATTTATCTTATTTTATTTTTTTAGCAGCTGGCTGGTACAGGAAACTGAACCCCTGAGCTTTGTGTTACAGGGTCGTGCTCTAACCAACTGAGCTGTGATGGGCATTTTATAGGTAAAGTGTGTGTAGCTGTGTGCTGGCTCGATGTGCTCTGTCTCACCCCCACAACAACTCTGCGAGGGGTGCTATTGTTACCCCCACTTTTCAGATGAAGAAACAGAGGCCACCCTCCTAAGCCTGCTCCCATATTGTCTCAGATAACCCCACATGCTCCTGCCCCAGATTCCCTCAAGATGCAGAGGGACACTCACAGACATTCAGGAACAGAGTTCACACCCCAGTGACAATGCTCATGTAATTGAGGGCTGCTTGCATGCCAGACGTGCTCTGAGTTCCTTAGGTGGAGTAATTGATTCAATATCCACATCCACCCTAGGAAGTAGGCACTATTGTTATGCCCATTCTGCACATGAGGAAACTGAGGCACAGAGAGGTCTAATAACTCACCCAAGGTTGCACAGCTGGCACATGGCAAGTCGGACACACTCATGAACAGAATCTCAGATAACATACACAGAGACACAGATTCATATCCTACCCGGGGGAAGACACTGGTTCACACAGAAGCAGACAGACAATGGTAATTCCATTTATTGAGTGTCTGTCTTGAACTCACTGGACCTCCCAACAACCCTGCAGAAGTGGGAAGTGGAAATAGTACCTCCATTTACAGATCAGGGGATTGAGGCAAAAAAGGTGAAGAGACCTACCCTGGGAAAGTTGGGAATTAACCAGGGCCCTGGGGGGGGGAAGGGAGCCCATGGGAGGGGGGTAAACCAATTAATGCACACACAAGGCGTAGCCCTGCCGCACACGGAAGTCCCCAGCAAATTCCCAGACAATCACTGTCAGAGCCCACAAAATATGCATGACCAGAGACACTCCCCCAGCCACCACAAGCACACAAACCCACACCTTTGTCCTGGCCACTCACCTACCCTGCCTTAGACCTGTCACTAACATCATGGCAGGGGACGGGAGGGAGAGGAGTGGGTGGCAAGTGGAGTCAGAGCTGTTCCCGGGTCAGAATCCAGGGCAGGGAGTGACCAGGAGCCAGAAGAGACCAAGAAGGAAGGGCAGCAAAGAGTCGACAGAATGGGGATCGACACTCCTTTCCTGCCTGCCCCCCAATCTGGCCATGGTTTTCATATGATGGGCACCTCGCCCATGTCTATTCCACCAACCCAGTCTTGACAGCCAGAAGGTTCTTACTAAAAGCCCAAACCCAACTAGTCACTCCCCCGCTTAAACCTTCCATAGCTCCCCAGTGCCCTCAGGAGAAAATTCCAGCTCTCTGGCTAGCATTCAAAGCCCTGGGTTTCTGGTCTGTGTCTCCATGAACTCTCTCATTTGAGGGCTTTTGTTCATGAGATTCTCTGCACCTGGAATGCACTTTCCTCTCACCCATATCCCCCACACTTAGTGGTTCCCAAATTTTAGGGCACGTCAGATTCACCCAGGAAGCTTATTTAAAAAGTGTATTTCTAAGTCCCATCCCCAGGAGTCTAATTCAGTCCCTCTGGAAGAGGCCCCGGAATCTATGAGAAATACTTTTACTTAAATCTGACAGATACAGGGGCACAACTGGGGCCCTGCAAAGCCTAGTGAATTCTAACATTAGATCCCAAACTTCCCCTCTCTCCACCAGAGGAGCTATAAAGGCCCCACTGTGGGCACTCAGCCCCTGACAGGCGATTTTCCAAACAGGCTGGGTGACCAGCACAGCCTCCCTCCCCAAAAGCCACATCTCATATGTCCTGAAATGTTAAAAAGCATGACCAGTGGTGTGACCACTTTGGAAAAGGATTTGGCAATTTCTTATAAAACCAAACGTAGTCCTACCCTGCAACCCAGCAATCTCACTCATAAGAATTTAGCCAAGATAAATGAAAGCATATGTTCACACAAAGATCTGGTCATGATGCTTTTTCATAACAGCTCCCAACTGAAAATAACCCAAATGCCCATCACAGGTGCGCGGGTAAATAAACTGTGGCACATTCATGCAAGGCAGCAATACTCATCAAGAAAAAGGAACGAACTATTGAAACATGCAACAACATGGATGAACCTAAATATCGCTATGCAAAGTGATAAAAGCCAGACAAAAAAGAGCGCCTACCGTGTGATTTCATTTATATAATATTCTGGAAAAGGCAAAGCAAATCTAGAATCAAAGGAAGCAGATCAGTGGTTGCTGGGGGCTGGGGGTATTTTAACTGGAAAGAGGGACAGGAGTCAACTTTCTGGGCTGATGAAAACGTTCTGTCCTAGGGCCGGCCTGTGGCTCACTTGGGAGAGTGCGGTGCTGATAACACCAAGGCCACGGGT